AGAAAGAAGAAGAAGAAGGAGGAGGAGGAAGAAATAAGGAATCAAAATATCTTAAGTCCCTACATGATTATCCCTGCCCCAGTGTCCCCTGTAGTCCCCTCTCCTAGTTCATTCTGCTCCTGCTATTGGCCTCTGGTTTGTTTATAGAGCACAGTAAGCACAGTCCCACCTCAGGACCTTTGCATGTGCTGCTCACCTTTGTGTGGAACCATCTCCTTCATGACAACAGAACCACACTTCCTTGAAATCTCTGCTCAAAGTTCACCTTATTGGATGGGCTTTCCTGGCCACCTTAGAGTGGCAGAACACCTCCTTCACACCAACACTTTCTGTGCTCTGATCCTGGTCTTTCTTGCCATTGTGCTTTCCACCTCCTGCCATATGATATATCCATCCATCCATTTGTTTATCATCTGTCACACACACTTCTCCACTAGAATATAAACTCCACAAAGGCATGAATGTCATTCCCTGTCAGTTATGTGTCCTCAGTTCCCACACAGAGTCTGGCACACTGTGGGCACCAGAAACTGTCATTTTTATAACTACATCTAGAATGAAGCAAGTAATTCACATTATTACAACTACATAAAATACATGTCTACAAGAATAAACTCAATGATGGTACCAGCTAGGCTGAAATGCTGACATACAGATTTTAACACGCTCCTGCCTCAATTTTCTAGTTGCAGGATTTCTATACATCTAAACAAATTACTATTATTTGGATGTTATAATTATTATTATTTGGATGTTACTATTATTTGGATGTGATACTCTAATATAATAAATAATAAATAAAACATTCCCTTTAAAGTTTTTTCATATTGGCTTAATGGATTTTACCAGAAGTGATGATACAAAGGCCAGTGAACAGATATGATTTAATTGAAAAACATTTTAAATGTTGAATTTGAACCAAGGGGCTCACACGCTGGGCAAGTGTCCAGTCACTGAGACACACACAGTGCTCTTCGTCTAAAACATGGAATTCTAGTAGCCTTGGAGTTGCAAATCTCATAAATCATCCACATTTTTTAAAAAATCAACCTTTTTCGGAAAACAACCCACCGGGGCTGGCAGTGTAGCTCAGTGACTCCTGGAATGCACAGGACCCAGCCTTCCATCCCCAGCGCTGCACAGAAATCAGGGCTTGGATGTGTCCCCCACAAATGGTCACGCTAAAGGCCCGGCTGCCAGCCTACTGTGATATTAGGAGGTCGTGGAGCCTTTGAGAGATGGAGCCTCATGAAAGAAGTTAAACCATTGGAAGGGGAAAGGGGGAAGGGGAAGCCCTTGAAGGAAAGGATCAACTACCTCCTCCCTCTCTTTTGGCTTCAGGTTGCCCTCAAAAGCAGCTGGACCAGCTGGCCAAGGACTAAAAGCTCCAAAACTGTGAGCCAAAACAAACCTTTCGTCTTTATAAGTTGATTATCTCAGGTATTTTCTTACCGGTAATAGCCAAGTTGACTAATACAACCCCACAAATATGTACAATGACAAAATTAAACTTATTTTAGAATAGCTCTAGATTTACAGAAAACTGCAAAAAATTTCCAGTAGTCTCTTATCACCATGCCTAACGTTCTGTATTCCTCACATCCTAGAGCAATATACTACACTTATCATAACTCATGGACTCATGTTGACCCTTTATTATTCTCTAGAATCCAAGCTTTATTCAGATTTCCTTAGTTTTCCCCTAATGTCGCTTTTCTGTCAGACCCCACCCTGACCCAAGGATACCACAGGGCGTTTAGCTATCTTGTCTCTTCAGGCTGCTCTTGGCTTCTCTGTTAATTCTCGGTTCCCAGAGGCCGGGTGTCATGATCAGTATCATGTCTTCTGAAACAGGGCCTCAATAAATGTGAAACTGAATCGACCCAGCTCCTACTTTAAAATGTCAGCTGTTTGATGGAATGATTTACTACTTGCTTCTGAGTGACATTTTCTGCCTAGAAATCTATCCCTCCATCCACTATTACCAATGAAATCACACTTCGCTCTGAAGTTGTATGCAGAGCTTTATTTATGACAGCTGGCAGATCCACAGTGTACGGTCAAATGCATAGTGCCAGCTCTGGCATGGTCTTCCGGAATGGGATGCTGCTACCTGTATCTCCACCTCTGGAACAGCAGAAGAGTTGGATGAGAACCATTTTTACTATTGACTGTGCCATCTCAGGCTGGTTACATGAACCCACGGGGCCACTCAGTAGGGTATTTGTTAAAGTTACTGAGATCAGGTTTGCAAATCTCTGCAAATAAGCAGTATTAACAGGGGTTGGGAACTACACTTTGTATGCTGTATATTCAACATATTCAGTCCTTACAATAGGCTTATGCAGTAACTGCTCTTACTTCCATTTTAAAGTTTGGGTAACTGAGGAACAGAGAAGCCAAGAAGCAAATCTAACACTACATAGAGAGTGAAGAGCTGTCCTGGGGTATGGATTTAGGACTGTCAACCCACATGTGAATGCTTATTCCTACCAAGTCCTTAGTGAGACAGCTCTTCCTGTAACGTAACACAGGCTTCATGGAGGGAACAGAGACCAAAAACTGCCTGAGGTTATGCCTGGCTCCTGTTTACTCAGATTCTTAAGAATTAAGAGTAATGTCTAATCTGGTCACTGCATGAGCAACATTCTCACAAAGCCTATCCAAATACCAACAAGGATACAATGCCACAGAAAACACCCCCTTCCCCCAGCCAGTATACCACAGTTTCTCAGTTGCCCAGGTAATGGTTCCTGTTCTAGTTCCTGTTGCTTCTGGTCTCTTAGAAACAGCGGGGCACTGTGACACATAGCTGGTCACTATGATGCCTGTTGTAAGAACCAATCACCACTGGCAAGCATTCTGCCTCTGCACTTCCTGCTTGCTGATCCCCTATAAGCCCTAGACCATCAGCAATCAGGGCCTGATATCTGAAGGTGATCCTGATCAGTGCCCACTCATGTAAAATAAATCTGCCTCCAAATCCTGGGTGTGTCATTTCAGTATTTCTGTTTGCTGAAGCAATAACATAAGGACCTTTTCAACACATTTTTCTTCTCAGGGAGATAGTTACTCCTATAGGAATGACCAAGCTTTGTACTGATTAGTGCAAGTAAACAGCAGGCACTGGGCCCTAAGGTTCATTAGGATAGATGACTGTGGCCTCCCTCAGAAATGTCAGGGCCCCTCACTGTGCAAGAGGAAACCCCTCTCTCACTACACCTTCTCAACTTCCCTAAAAGTGAGCAACTGGCCCCAGGATATAAAGGAACTAGAGAGCCTATGGCCCCTAAAAGTACTATCCTAATTCAAACAGCAAGTCCTGGCATCTTTGACCACACTTTGGTTTTTTATTAACAAAAACCATACTATGCCTTTTCAAAGAGTGCATTGGTACCTAAATTACAATGAGTTATAAAAGAAATGCCTGTAGCTTCAAAATAATTATTTTGGTTGCTCCTCTATTTATTTATTTTTGGCGGTGGTAGGAGGGACTGAACCGGGGGCCCTGAGCCCTGGGTATTCAGGGCAGGTGCTGTACCACTGAGCCACTTTCCCAGTCCCCACGACACAAATACATTGCTTCCTGCACTAGACAAGAGTCTGGAGATGGTCCTTGTCTTGGCATAACTTTATGTCCCATCGTCTCCAGCCAGGGGGGATTTTGGTTGCCAGGGACACTGTTTTGTTGATGGTCACAACTGGGACACACTGCAGTCAACATCAAGTGAGTAAAGGCCTGGGGCACAGTTAAATATCAGCCACATATAGAATATCAGCCGTGCACAGAAACTATCCAGTTCAGAATTCAATAGGACTGAGGGCAAGGAGCCACGGTGCAGGGTGAAAATGCATTAATAGGGTGAAACTGTGAAGTCGTAAATGTTTTGCTCCCACACATGCTGCTCCATATCCAAACATAAAGGCCATCAGAATTCCGACCAAGGCACCTTTCAGCACTGAGGAAGTACACGTCCTAGGAACCAGGTGGTGGGCAGAATGGCCCAAGTGCACAGGAGTTCTCCCGCTTCTCTACGCCTCGGCTCAGTACTCTGCTTTTACATTTTTCCTGTTTCACCGGCATGCCTCTTGTCAGCGCAGAGCTAATTGAGGTTTAGAGCAGCAAAACCCAGTTTCAACTGTGCACAAAACAGACATGTCCAGGTCCTTCACAATTATACAGCAAAGGGCAGAAAGCCTTGCACTGTGGTGAGCTGTGTGGAGCTCTGCAACCATCCAAGGCCAGAGTGGATCCTTCTGATTTCCCACCCTCCTGCCCTCTTTAACCACAAGATGAAATTGCTAAGCAAAACTAAACGAACATCACTCCAAATTGGAACTGTAAAACTTGAAACTGGGAAATGGAAAATTAAAAGTTCAACAGACTCCCCCTAAGTCCCCCTAAACTAAAGATGCTGTTCACATACTGTAGCGATCGCCTATCACTATTTCACTGTTCATGCAATGTGGGTAAATATACACACATATTCAAATGCCACCCCAACACAGTAGCTATTTATGACTCCACCTCTTCTCTGTACTGTGGTGCTTTCTTTCTGTCCTTTCTCTTGCTTTAGCTCGCTTGCTATCCGTTATTCTTTTCATGACATTCCCTGGGGCATCTTACTGTCTTCTGCAGGGAATCTGGACAGAGACAGCGGCCCCTCTCCTGGGAATCTGGAATCTTACAGAGCCATCTTTCCCCCCTTCTTTATTGGATGCGTGGGTGGCAGCCTCCCTCTTCCCAGGGCGACACCCGGCCTGGAGAAATGGCAGGACCATGTCAGCATCACTTCTGGTTAGGAATATGGGACCATCAGTCCTTAGCTGGTGCCCGAAGCACTCTTGTAGGGCTTAGAGTGTTTAAAAAAAAACTCTACTTCTTGTTAACCTGATCATTAGGGCTCCTGCAAGGTTTACTAAAATGAAGATGTACCATTTGCTCACAGTTCTGGTGCGCATATTTGTCTGATGACATTCGCAGAAGCAGACAGGTAGGGGCAGGAGGCAGAGATACTGGCAGCTTTTGGAGCTCTGTGGTCCCCCCGACCTTTTTCCAACCGCTTTGCCCCTGTAAAACATCTGGGCACCTAGGACACAGGGAGGATGCACTGCGGTTAGTCCGGGAAGGGGCAACACCCTGCTCTGTGTCTGTGTCTTGGTGCCTCAAATCTCACGAAGTAACAGAGCAGAGGGGGAAAAGGTACCTCTGGGCTCCAAAGAGCGCAGAGTACATGGCTTGGTGATTATTGGCTTTCGCCTTTGGACAGAGAAATGAGATCACGGTTCTCACCAAGGGAAGGAACCGCCGCTGCCAGGCTGCCGAGGCGGCCGCTTCCCCTCCCTGCGCGGGTCCGCATTACATCACCGGTGAGCTCTTGCGGGTGGGGGGAGAGGAGGCTTCTCCAGGGACCCAGCCCCAGAGGAGGATAAGCAGAATGGAAAGGAGGGGTGGCGCGGGAGCGTGTTAGAGAACAGAGGAAAGAGCAGATCCGCGTTTACCACCGTCAGTCCTTGGAGGTGGGGTGCACAGGAAAACCGCCACATCCTTACGCAGTTACAACCCCAAAAGCGTTCCCGCGATCCTCCCAGCAGCCCCCAACTTCCAAGTCCAACAGAACTGAAATCCAGAGCTGCCAGAAGAGCTGCCTCAGGGGGCTACAGGGGACAGCGGTGCACAGACGCGGGGGAGGGGGAGGTACAGGGAGGGACCGCTGCGTCCAGTCGGGGGCGGGGTAAGAGGGGTGGGGTGGACGGAGGGAAGAGGAGGAAAAGGAAGAGGAGGAGGAGGGAGAGGAGGAGGAGAGGAGGAGGAGGAGGAGGAGGAGGAGGAGGAGGAGGAGGAGGAGGAGGAGGAGGAGGAGGAGGCGGCGGCGGCGGCGGCGGCGGCGGCGGCTGCCTCTGTGCCCCCAGCCAGCCCGGCCGGCGGTGCCTTCCCTGCCAGGCGACAGCAGTTGGAGTGGGGGAGGCAGAAGCGCCTCCTCCCCACCCCGAGCCGAGGCGGCGACCCAGGGGGAGGAAGGTGCCTCACCTTGCCCCCTATGAAGGGCGGATCATGCCATGGCAGCGCCGGCGAGCGACAGCGGCGGCAGCGAACAGAGCCCGAGCAGCAGTCCTGGGGGCCGGGTGGGAGCCGGGGACGCCGTGGCCGGGCGCCGGGACGGCGGGGACGCGGGAGCCCGGGACGCCGTGGAGACCGCCCCCGGCCTTCCTCCGCTCGAGGACTACGAGTGCAAAATCTGCTACAACTACTTCGACGCGGATCGGCGCGCGCCCAAGCTGCTGGCGTGCCTGCACACCTTCTGCCAGGAGTGCCTGAGCCAGCTGCAGCTCCGCGCCGCCGCCGCCGCCGCCGCCGCCTCCAGCGCCGCGCCCGAGCGCGCGCCGCGCCCGCCGCCCTGGCACGGCCCTGCGGGCGCCATCGCGTGCCCCGTGTGCCGCCACCGCACTCCGCTGCCCGACAGCCGCGTGCACGGCCTGCCCAACAACACCAAGCTCGCCGAGGCCTTCCCGCTGGCGGTGCGCGCCGCGCAGGACCCGCTGCCCCAGGACCGCCTCCCGCCGCGCCGCGCCGCGCCCGCCCCGGCCCCGCCGCCCGCCCCGGCCCCGCCGCAGCCCCCGCCGCCGCCCGCCGAGGACCAGGGTCCCGCGCCGCGCTCTCGCGCCGGCCTGCGCGCCCCGGGCGCCTACGAGAGCTGCCAGAACTGCAAGCGCGCCGCCCTCACCGCCGGCTGCGTGTGCGTGGTCTTCTCCTTCCTGTCCATGGTGGTGCTGCTGTTCACCGGCCTCATCTTCGTCAACCACTACGGCGGCGGCGGCGGCGGCGGGGGACCCCCTGCAGGCGGCGCGCCCCCTGGCGCTGCCCCGGCGCCTGGCTCGCCCTCGCCCTCGCCCGTGGGGCCCATCTGCCTGTCGGTGGCCAGCATCCTGGCGCTCTTCTCAGTCGTCGTCACCTGGGTCATCTGCTGGCTCAAGTACCGGCCTGAGGGTGCGGCCGCGGGCTCGGCGGGGGGCGGCGGCGGCGGTGGCCCGAGGGCGCGGGCGGCGGCGGCAGCTAGCAGCACCTGGAGGAGCGACACGTAGCGGGACAGCGCACTGGGCTCTGCGTCCGCATCGAGGCCTCGGGCTCTGTGCGCTGGAGCTTCTCCTCCTTCTCCCTGCGACCCTGGACGCTCAGGACGCGCACTCTCCCCGCCACCCGCCCACGGCCGAGTCTCGGTTTTCGGCCCCTTGGACTGTCCGCGCCCCACCTCCTTCCCGCTGGGCGAGACCGCCAAGCCGAAGAGGAGAGGATGCTGGAGTCCCTTTTGCCTTGTCAGTGCAAGATCGACCTCCGCCTCATGCAGCCACCCCACCCATCCCGGCCGGAGTGCGTAGGCATCCTCTCCCAAAGTCTGAAAGAGGACTGGCAGAAAGGGGCCGAGGTGTGGGACCCCGCCAACCTCCCGGAAGCTGGTTTTCGGGAGCCTGGAGTTTAAGGGTGCAGGTGCGCGCGCAGTTATGTCCGCAGCAGTTGTGAATGGACTTGTGTTCTACTGCCCAAAGGGAGAATGAATAGGATATTACTAAGCAGGGGAGAAAGATTTTCTTGCTTCCTGGCGATCTTGAAAAGGTAGACACCCAGAGCGCTGGGAACGTGGCGCCCATCCTTGCTGGCGCAGTTCGGGCGCGATTGCGGCTGCGACTTTACCAGCCGCCGCCTTGAGCGCGCTACTGGGCAGGTGCGCACCGCGCATGCGCGTCTCGGGGCCGCGGGCTGACTCCGCCCGGCAGAGGCGGCCGCGCGCGCAGGGCAGCGTTCGGATGGGGCTGGAGCTGAGCCCAGAAGTCCCATCTCCTGGATGCCTGCGCCTCGTCTCATTCACAGTGTTACTGCCAGGAAGTCATTTCGTCTTGTGTAACTGGACTCAGGGAGCTTTAAAGAGCCCGACCTCCCTTCTCTCAAAACTGACTTACTGTTGCCCCCACCTGGAAGAGGCTGAGAGCTATTCACGCCTGCTGTAGACCACAACTTTCTCCTCGCCTTTGCCTTTTTTCCTAATTTCATTGGAAAAGCAGTTTATTTTTGAATAAATACATCTGGAAATTTTAAGATTTCCAGAGAAGTTATTTTACTAAGTGGTGACCTCCGATCCAACTACATTTCAAAATTAGGAGCAGAGAGTAAAGCTGTATTGGTAATCGATTAAGATTTTATACTGTGAAACAAATCAATGACTTTCAATTATCTGACAAAATAGTGCCCAAAGATAAATCAACTCTTTTCTGCCTTTTACTACAATATATATATAATATATGCATATATAGTGTATATTTATCAGAAAGTATTATTTTGAATTTAGCTGTTTGTTAATGTTGGAATCACTGAAATGTTCATATCCTAGTCACACGACATAAAAGAATATATGTTTATCTGATTTTGTAACTTAGGAGATGAGTGTATATTGCCAGTAGGTTAGATGCCCTTTTTAATGTGGGGAAAGGTCACAAATGTATTTTATATGAAAACGTTTCTTATTCCATTTTTTTAAAAATTTGGAATAAGACAAAGTTTTCATGCTTAAAACTCACAGAAGAGACTAAGGATATGCTGTTATTCCTTGTGTATTTATGCAAGCTGTCTGCATGATATCCTGATACTATTCAATTAGCTGAATTTGAGTGGAGTATTTGTAGCTATCATATGAGCAAAGTAATTTATTGGCCATTGATAAGTGGCTGTGGCTGCAATTTATGAACCACAATATGGTGTGTTACATGTCCACATTGTCTTGATAATAAAAACAAGAACCATTTATAGAAAAGAAAACGTTTTTGTGACATTTATTTCACGGTGAAATTGCTCCAAGATATTTGTGTGGCTGTTTCCTTCCACAAACACATCTGCCCATCTAGATCCCAATTTCACATTTTGAATGGGGCTGAGAAAGAAAGAATTTGCAAGTGGGAATATGTATTGAGAGGTTGAAATTTCAGGAATTTTTTCTAATATTTAATAGGAGTCCTTTAAGGCCCAGTAAGAGCTGTTGTAATATTCAAGGGAGAAGCAGCTTACCCATGTACATCTATAATATCCTCTAAAGCCAAATTCTGTTTTCACACTCTGGCTTTTGTGAAATGTTTTCACATTCCTAATACTAAGGACTACATTTCAGAGATTAATTTTAGTTGACATATCCCAACATCTTGTGTTATTTTCATGTATATTTTATCTTTTTATTCTCCTCTTACCTCCAGTATGAAGGTTCTTTTTATAATCACTTTAGTTACACAAATGTCTCTACATATGTACGTGCCATGTACATGGCTACATATATAATATGTATAGGCACACCAGTAATACAGCTTGGCTTTGTGGATGTAACCATGTGCATATGTGTACACAAACATGTGTTTATTATTTCACACCATTAAACTGGAAACCTAGAAGTCTGTCTAAACTTACTTGGGGACCAGTTTGCTTCTTATAGAGTTTACTTATGTTCCACAGAAGTACACCAATGATGTAACCTAAATTATTCCTCACAAATGACAAATACATTTCCTAGTTGCCTCAGTTCCAGTAAAGCTACATTTTGCTTCTTTTGTGGGTTTCCCATGTAAATTTCTTGAATGAGAAACTTGATTCTGGAACTACTCTAAAACCAAATAGATACAGTTAGTAGCTCAATACTTAAACATACTTAAAAGCACTTAAAGCTTTTCTTCGTGACTGATTTAACAGCCAATTTCTGATTTTGTTCATTTAATGGCAAGGTGGAGTGACTGCTTTCCCATGGTTCTCTGGTATCAGGTGTGTCCCCACCCCTTATTCTGCAGATTTGATTATTCATGCCTACCACACTGGTGTCTGAGTCCAATCAAGAGTTTGGAAAGTAACTCCTGAAATAGTGACTGAGCTCTTTGAAGTGCTTCTTCTCTCCTTTTGCATGGTATTGCTCATCTTACTGAGGAGTTTTATTCAGTCCTGGACACTGCTCATGACTGACCAGTAAAGTCCATTCTAAAAGCCAAACCTGACCTGGAATGCATAGTTCTGTCTAGATTTTGGAGCTGCAAGCTGGAGTTACCATGATGCTTCCACAGAACCTAAAGTTCAACGGAAAGACCCTTGTGTAGGGGACAAGATGAGATGCTTGACCTTCGAAAGCAGTAGGATTTGATGAACAGTGTCCATCAACAAGAGTTCCTTGGTTTTTGGGATTCAAAAGCCAGTATCTGGAGCCAGGAGATGTGATTCTGAATATTGCTTACTCCTTTATTTAGAAAGATTTAAGAAGTTATTTAACCTCACTGAACCCAGACTCCTCATTTCTAATAGGGGGAGAAAAGATATTGGTTCCTTCCCTCTAAGGAATCTGTGTGAGACTTAAAGTGTATACACTTTAAGACTAAATGGCTAAGGGCTTGGGGATTTAGCTCAGTGGCATAAGCGCCTGCCTGGCAAGCTCTAGGTTGTGAGTTTGATCCCCAGTACCAACAAACCAAAATCAAAACAAAAGCTAAATGGCTAAAAATGGTTTGGAAGTAAAGTCTGATGTATAGTTATAGCCTTATTTTCATTTAGGTCTCCAAGAATTTGACATTATTTCTCCAGAGAGGACTTCTCCACTCTTTCTCTAGGGGATTTTGATCCTAGGGGTTATTAATGCCAGTTTTCCTTCTTTTTCTTCTTCCTTTCTTTCTCTCTCTTCCTTCCTTTCTTTCTTTCTTTCTTTCTTTCTTTCTTTCTTTCTTTCTTTCTTTCTTTCTTTCTGTTTCTATCTTTTCTGGAGACAGGATCTTGCTATATGGTTCACGCTGGCCTTGAACTCATAATGATCATCCTGCCTCAGCCTCCTGAGTGCTAGGATTACAGATATATGAAGCCACCTCTGGATATTTACTTCCTTCGTAACAGAGCTGTCTGCAGGGGTTTTATATAGTTGTTGCATATTTTATTTTCCCCAATCTCCAGAAACCAGCATGCAAAGACAAAGACAAGATCCTTTTCTGCTTGGTCCTCTGCTCTGTCCAACAGTGAATGTTCCTCTACAGTGAGCCTTAATGAGTTTTCAGCACATAGAATGTGACTGATAAGTATTGTGCTAAGTATGCTTGAAGAAAACTCTGTAAGGTGTTTTAAACAAATTGGCTCCCAGACTCACTGTTAATCAACAATAAGTCTGGAGGCCGGCAAGTCTTAGGTAAGCAATTGTTTTCCTACTCCTTAAGGGTTATTGAATGATGAAAAGCTAGGTAATGCACTTTGAATTTTAAAAATACCATTATAACAGTGGAACTCTTACTGTGCTATATTCAGTAAAAGAAACCACTATGGAGACTAAAGGAAGTTTGGCTTCTGTTTCTTTCCATTTCTACATGTAGGCGCATTTATGAATGTACTTCCACCGTTCCCCTCCAGAGCAAGCAGCATTTGTGTAGTTGGGAAGAGCCCACGCTGCGGTGGAATTCCCCACAATGCTGAAAACAAATTCTATTAAACTGCGCATTCTTTATTGTTCCCTGTTTTATTAGCTCCTCCATCTTTGCCATTCTGACTATTCTTCATGAACTTGTAACTGTTTTGTTCTCAATTTTAACTGAAAAATCTCTTTGCTCTGTGATTCAACTGGTACCTCCCATAATTATTTAATTTCTATGGGCTATTATACATATTTTACATTTCTGCATGGATACAGAAATGATTAAATTCACATCATGGGCAATGAATTACATATCCTTGCTTAGTAGGCACTTGCCTTTCTTCTTTTGAAGTTGTATGTTTTGACTGTATACGTTACAGTGAGTTTGTTAAAAGGGTAGCTAATTTTAGTACACTATTTCTAAGGTGAGTATTAGACATAGTTACAACCTGGTTTTAGTTTGAAATGGTGTGGATTAATCAAATATGAGAGATAATACCTATTCATGGCTAGATCTCTTTTAAGTGCCCTAAGCTTTGTGATGTATACCATCACCAATATTTCTTCTTCTCAGTTTTAGTTATGAGGTTTGTATTTATTTATTTATTATCTTTTTGAGACAGGGTCTTACTGCGCGGTTCAGGCTAGTCTTGAGCTCACTTTGTAGCCCAGGCTGGTCTCAAATTTGCAACAATCCTCTTGCCTCAGCCTACTGAGTGCTGGGATCACAGGTGTGCGCCACCACTCCCCAGCTTGGTTATGTGGGTTTTATTCTCTTGTGCAGAGCTAATTTGAAATCACTCCTAATTGTAAGACAAGTTTAGGAAATAAGCATTCATGTCCTATCTCCAAAACTATTACTAGGAGCTAAGGAAGGATGTGTACCCATCTTTTGGAAAGAGTTGTCCCCATATGTACAATTGGATTATCTCTGGTTTAGAAAAGCCACATCTCCACAATGTAGAGCAGGACATGAAATGAAAAGAAAATCTCCTTAGCTCCCAATATTACAAAACACATCATAACAGGAAGAGAAGAATATCTAATCTTTGCAAAACATAAAGCACCTGCATTTCAACCATGAGATGTTTGGAATCATGAAATGTACAGGACTCCCAGCTACCTCTTGCCAAAACGACCAGGAGTATTTACCACCGTGAGTATGGAATCCGTTCATGTTTTTATATGTGTGCATTTGAAAACATTTTGCAGTCAAACTTGAGAAGCTGAGATTAAGTTACTTCTGACCCAAAGTTCTGAGGAAGGATTAACTCTCAGTGGCGCTTAGATAGCTATTGCCTGGGGGAAATTGGTGCCGGTGTGCTGAACTCTGTGTAGCAGATTTGTTCTTAGAGGCTCACAGTTTACTAAATTCATCCACCACGCGGCAGATTTATTTCCTGATGTGAGTCTCCGCAGAGGCTTTCAAACCCAGGTCACAGGTTAACTTTACCTGGAGGGCTGAATAAAACTAATATAGAAGCAATCTTGGCCCCCAAGAGACTACATTTAATTGGCCTAGACAGGGGGAAAGGAGGTGTATTTTAGAAAGGCAACCCCAGGTCATTTTTCCGAGCAGCTAGATTTCCATCATTACATTTCACAATGTTTTTGTTGAGTGCAACTGTCCCCCTAATCTCACTTTAAAGAACTAAATGCCACCAGGTTGTGTTTTCTTCATAATTCATCGGAAGATCAGGGGGTTCTGCTTGTATTCCTGAAATGGTCATAATTTAGAACATCAGAAGGGCTGTTTAATTGGTTCATATCTCTCTCTCTCTCTCTCTCTCTCTGTCACACACACACACACACACACACACACACACACACACACACCATCCCTGATCCCTTTGCCTCACTCCCATCTCGTGCACTCCAATTTTCCAGTGGGCCAGGGCACTGTTTGTGTCTTCTCCATGATGATGAAGTTATTTCCTGCGCGAAGCCAAGTCCGGGGAAATTCAGTTACAAGCCTGGAACAGTGTGGAGGGTCCGTAGGCCCAGCACGCCGGGGGTCTCAGGGAGGCTGAGGACCACAAGAAAATAGCCTGAACAGCATAGCAAAACCTAGTCGGAAGACAAAAGGAAAGAAAGGTGACAATGTAGGGATTTGGAAGAGGAGTCTATGAATGGCCTGAAAAGTCTGCAGGTGAGATGACCCTGAAAAACCAGCAAGGACGGTTTCGCTATCAACCCCCCTGACAGCGGACGGTGCTTCTCAGCTGTCCACCAGTGGCAGACAGGAGCGGATGCAGGAGCCACAGTGGTTCGCACAGTCGGAACTCAAAATACTCGCTGGGTGAGCTGTTAAATTCATTGCAAAGATCCTTCCGAGTAGCCATGCAGCGTGCAAATTAATTCCATGCACCAGGGTCCAGGTGTCAATGGGTTCGGCGCGGAGACC